TGGGATTACAGGCACGCGCCACCATGCCCAGCTAATTTTTTGTAGTTTTAGTAGAGACGGGGTTTCACCGTGTTGACCAGGATGGTCTCGATCTCTTGACCTCGTGATCCATCCGCCTTGGCCTCCCAAAGTGCTGGGATTACAGGCTTGAGCCACCGCGCCCGGCCACATTTGGATATTCTTTAATGTCTTTTTCCATATGGTTTATACTTTTCTGAAGATATGCTTACATATCTTTTGCTAGATCTATTAATGGGTACTTGGTATTTTCAATTGCTATGATAAGCGGTATATTAATTGCATTATTAAACTTCTCATAGCTGATGTATTGACATGCAATTAATTTTTGTATGTTAATTCTTTAAATTGAGCAATCTTATTAAACTCTCTTATTGAATCTCATAATTTTTCTGTGGACCCTCAGGTTTTCTATGTGATGTCATTTTATTTATGAATGACAATTTTTCTCCCTCCTTTTCAATAATAATTTGTTTATTTTTCTTTCCTCACTGCACAAGCCAGGACTACAAGTACACTGTTGAGCAGTGATGGTGATAGAGAGCATCTTTGCCTGTTTCTTATTTAAAAACATGCATTCAGCATTACCTCTGGGAGTGTCATAAATCCTTACGGGGTGCTGAAGAGGGTTGGTCTGTCTTTTGTACCTGCTTCCTGCTGGCTTTGGATGGTAACCCTGACTAACAGGGGACCTAATATAGGCAAGATGATTGGTGGTAGCCAATTTTAAAAGGGTATAACAAGCTTTTGAGCCAGGTGGTCTGGCCCCTGCTTGTTTCTTATAGCTTGTCAATGCAATTAGAACCAGAAAAAAAAGTTACAGGAGTTGACCAAAAAGCTGAAGGAGAGAGTTATTATCTTGGTCCTTCTCAAGGGGAGAAAAAGTACTGAAAGCAGTGACACATTGAAAAAGTTTAATTTTTGAGATATGATTCTGAGAAGTTTTTTTAGAGAAGCAGATCATAACATTAAAAGTAAATTTTGCAATTTGTGAGAGAAAATCACTAAGAGACTTCCAGCCTCAAATGCTGCCCAGAGAGATGCAGAATTTAACAACTCAAAGAACAAAAATCATTAAGAGGAGAAGGAAAGTGATAAATGTGAACTTCAGGGCTTGCAAGTATAGGGCAACATGCATCAGAAGCTGCTGCCACAACAGCACACAGGCCTCTCTATTTTACTGACATGTTGCAAATAGTACTAGTTTCCACACAGGAAAGAGTATTCTGTTCCCGACAGGGAAATCACTGTGGTAGGACCTTGTAGAACTACATGAGGCTTATTGGTGTTTATCCCAGATTCATTAGCTGGGATGCTTGGATCCCACTCTCTGCAAGGGTCAAAGTTCTTAGACCCCTTAGCTGAATAACAGTCATCTGCACATAAGCAGTGATAGTCTTCATGAGCACTGTTATGGGAGTGATTAGACTGACATAATGTATTTTGGAAAATTAAAGTAATAATATTCCATTTTATTATTAAAGTTTGCTTAGATGTAAGATTTAAAGGAATGAAAAGAATTCCAGTTTTGGCCTCTAGACCTCATGCTTCCTTTCCTGTTCTAGAACTGTTAATTGGGTCTGGAATTGTAGTTGTACCCCTGTTTTGACCATAATACCATTCCTAGCAGGTGGAACTGAGCAACTTGGTGCTACCAGAAATTCTTGTTGAAATATTTGGGTTTTTTGCTTTAAATTCACAAGTCAGAGAAGGAGTAAAAAATATAATTTGTGGCTTTTCTTCCATTCTGATAACACTTGTAGACAAAGAGGAAAGTTTTCCTGCATAAGCAATAGGGACATAGCAGTTTGCCCCTGTATCAAAAAAACTGAATTTGGGTTCCCATACTGTCCAGAGTTACCTGGGGTTCCTCAATGGTAATTAAGATATTCCTGGACCAGGGTGGTAAGGAAGACCCTGGGCCCCTTCAGTCTTCATCCAGTTCTTCCCTTTGCATTGCTAGAGTTTTGACTGGCCAAGCCCCTCATTAGGAGTGGAGCAGTCAATCCCCTAGTGCCAAAGATTGTGACTGATATCTTCACACTGACAGCAGGGGCCTGGTGGGGGCCTGGTACAATCTTTCATCCAATGTCCATTATTTTTGCACTTCAAACAAGGGGTGCTACCTTTGGACCCTCACGGGTTTCCCTTTGATACTTTTTGGGCCTTTAGGGCATTGTCAATGACAGCAGCCATAATTTTAGATTGCCATTTATTTTCCTTCCCTTTCTCTAGGCCTCGATTGTTGTATACCATAAAAGCAGTATCCAGAAGTGCCCGAGGTGTCTGGGGCCCCGTTTGCAACTTTTGAAGCTTGCATCTAATATCAACGGCAGACTGGCTTGTGAAGTGCTCAGCTATAAGTGACTTCCCTTCTTGTGAGGCTGGGTCTAGGTTAGTGTACCTTTTAAAGGCCTCTTTTAGCCAGCTGTAAAACATAGCCGGGTTTTTTTCCTTTTCCTGGGTGACTTGGAACTCCCCTTTTGAGTACCTTCTCTTGGAGCCTTGCATATAGATGGGTTCTATTAGGGGAGGCATCTTATCTCCTGGGTTGTTAAATGTACGCAGTGAACAGTTTTGACAAATACTTGCTTAGCCAACGAAGCCAGATTAGATCTGATGAAGAGTTTGTTTACCATGGCTAGTACGGCATTCCTCTCCTTGAGGAAGCAGTCGTGCAAGGTTTTTCTAGCTTTCCACTGGGCTGCTTGAGGGAGATATAATTTTGACCCTATATGCCACCGGAGCCTTTATTTTTGTCCCCCTTGCTCTTTTATTTGTTGTTTTTCTTGCACTATGTAGTTAGGTTTTATGGGGAAAATGGGGATAAGGAAACAAAGCTAAAACTCGTTGGGATTGTATTCTGAGGGTTGACACTTTGGCTTTCTTATCGGCCTTCCTGTTTTCCAGCGTTATGAGCTTAAGTCTTTCTCATGCCCCCTACAATGAATTATGGCTATAGCCTTTGGTAGATATATAGCTTCTAATAATTGAAGAATTTTAGCCCCATGTTTTATGGGGGAATGGCTGCTGGTTAGTAATTCTTTTTTTTTTTTTTTTCCAGACTGTGGCATGAGCATGAACCACGAGGAATGTATACTTGGAAACCGTATAGATGTTGAGCTTTTTCTCTTTTTCTAGTATAAGAGCCCAAGTAAGAGCAATGATCTCAGCTTTTTGTGCTGATGTGCCTGGGGGCAGCAGCCGAGCCTCAATATGGTGCTGTAATTTACTACTGCATACCCAGGCTAGCGTTCTCCATTTGCCACAAAACTACTGCCATCTGTGGACCAGTGATCTTCAGGGTCTGGGAGAGGCTGATCTTTTAGATCAGAACAGCTCAGAGATGTGTGAACAATGATCTGCTTATGGGAAGTCATTGGGCCTGTGGGCAATAGTGAAGCTGGATTCAGGGTGTTCCAGATTTTAAGTATAACTTCATATTACTTAAAAAACATAGCCTGATATTTGGTTAACTTTTCTCCTGTCATCCAGGTGTGTTCTTTTGCCTCCAAGATTGATCTAAAACTGGAACGGGATTAGTATTTCCAGTGGTTGACCCAGAGTGATCATAGTGGCTTCCTCTTCTAAAATAGTAGTGGCTGCAATTGCCCACAAGCAGCTTGGACATCCCAAGGCCACCCCATCCAATTTATTTGAAAAGTAAGAGGTTGGTCTAGATTCTAATTCTAATTTGTGGGTTAGGAGACCCACCACTATATCTTTCTTTTCAGCTACACGTAAAGAAAAAGTCTTGGCCGGGCGTGGTGGCTCAAGCCTGTAATCCCAGCACTTTGGGAGGCCAAGGCGGGTGGATCACGAGGTCAAGAGATCGAGACCATCCTGGTCAACATGGTGAAACCCCGTCTCTACTAAAACTACAAAAAATTAGCTGGGCATAGTGGCGCGTGCCTGTAGTCCCAGCTACTCAGGAGGCTGAGGCAGGAGAATTGCCTGAACCCAGGAGGCGGAGGTTGCGGTGAGCCGAGATCGCGCCATTGCACTCCAGCCTGGGTAACAAGAGCGAAACTCCGTCTCAAAAAAAAAAAAAAAAAAAAAGAAAAAGTCTTAGTGAAGTGTGGGATGCCTAGTGCAGGAGCCTGGCTGACAGCTTGTTTTAACTTAGTGAAGGCCTTCCTTATTTTTGATGTCCATTCCATTGGCTCATTCTCTGGCCCCAGCATGACTTCATAAACGGGCTTTGCTATGAATCCAAAATTAGGAATTCATATTCTGCAAAATCCAGCCATCCCCAGAAAAGAACAAAGTTGTTTGATGTAGGGTGGGTCTAATCCACATGCGGCTTGCACACGCTCTAGGGATATCTGTTGGGATTGAACCACCCCCCAGTGATTGAGGATGTTGCCAAGCGGGAAGTCCAGTGAGACTGAGACTGAGTTTCCCATATTCTGTCTGTGTAGAACAAGAAAAACTTGAAATTTAGAGCATTCTGGCCTAGGGCCACATGCCCATGGGAGGGCCTTTGCTGGGGTTGAGGGCCAAGAGGGCATCCCTTGCTTGGGCCTTTTCATGACATGCCGAATGTCTCTGGCCTTAGATGGGCATCAGCGTCACTTGAAGAAGGACCCTGCCATATTTGGGGACGTATGATTAAGTTTCCCTTTAGTCCGTAGGTGCAGCCCTCAGCTTTTGGCATCCCTGTAGCTGGCCAAAATAGTTTTTTCCCAAATGGTTTCCTTAACTATTGTGGTCACTGTAGTTTGAAGGGCAAGGGATTGCAAGCTGCCTACCTTGAATTTGTTAAAGATTGGCCTCTCAATAAGGGAAGAGAATGCCTTCTGACCAGATAAACTGTGTGCAGTGATTTCTCCATGGATCCACTGCACAATGTATGTAATGATCCAAGAGTCTCCACCAGGAGTTTTCTCTCAGCACCAGGTCTGCTAAACTAAAACATTCCAGAGCTGGTCTCTCACAAAACAAGCAGGGTTTTTTTTTTCCTTGTTTAGCCATTGCCTTGGCCCTTTGGGTCGGGGTATACCAATTACTTGTTTCAACATTGCAAAAGCAGAAATCAGAGTATTATGTCTTGCCACACACAGAAGCACCACACAGGCACAGGGATTTGTCTTATGCCTGGCAAAGCCTGATTGCTCCGTTCCCCAACCAGGTTATACTGTCCTGAGTCTTCTAGCAGGAGATGCCCTAATGGCTCTTAACTGCCAATCTTGTTTCCCCAAAGAGCGCTATCAGAGGAAAGAAACAGAAAGCAAAAGCAAAAACAAACATGTCAAATTGGGGCTTACCTCTTGGATGGCTTATCAAAAATGCTATGTTACTGGCTGATGTGAAGTCCCAAGTTCTTGGTGTCCTGAGCAAAGAACTGGATGTGACCCACAGACAGCAAAGCAGCAAAAAATTTATTAAGCACAGTACCATTTGCAATGTCCCAGGCTGACCCACAAGTGGTATCAGCCCCGGTTAGTTACATTTCATGGCCTTTAATGTTTTTTTACTCTAACTTACTCAACTTCAATCTTTGTGACCAAATTGCTCATCCTTGCCTTTCCCTTCCTGCACCTTAACCTTACTTTATCTCCTGTAAGCTAATTGTTCATTCTTGCCTTTCCCTGATTGTGCCAACTTACTATTTACCTCTTTTTATCTTGAATGGTCTGCTTTTGTTTTTGTTTATCTTTTGTTTCTGATTTGAGATGGGGTCTTGCTCTTCACCCAGGCTGGAGTGCAATGGCACGATCTCAGCTCATTGCAACCTCTGCCTCCCAGGTTCAAGCAATTCTCCTAACTCAGCCTCTGGAGTAGCTGGGATTACAGGCACGCACCACCATGACCGGCTAATTTTTCTGTTTTTAGTAGAGATGAGGTTTCATCATGTTGGCCAGGCTGGTCTTGAACTCCTGACCTCAAGCGATCCGCCCACCTCGGCCTCCTAAAGTACTGGGATTAGAGGCTTTTGTTATCTTGCATGTTCTCCTTAAGCTAGCCTACATCTACCAGGTCCCCTTTACCCCCGACTTCCTCTGCTATTTTCCTACCTCAATAGTAATATACCTATATCGTATTTCTTTTAGTTATTGGCCCGGTATCTCTTTTGAATCTTTAATTCTTAGTTTTTCTGTGCTCTTAAGCTTTATGCTTAACTTTTATACATAGTACATTATGTATTTGTTTTAATCTAGTCTGAAAATTCTTTTAACTGAATAGCTTATTCCATTCATATTTCTGGTGATTACTGATACATTTGGATCATTGCCACATTCTTTTTTTTTTTTTTTTTAATAGATAGGGTCTCTTCTGCCACCCCAGCTGGAGTGCAGTGGCACCATCATAGCTCACTGTAACCTTGAACTCCTAGGCTCAAGAGCTCCTCCTGCTTCAGCCTCCTGAGCAGCTAGGACTACAATTGTGTGCCACCATACCTGGCTAATTTTTTTATTTTTTGTAAAGATGAGGGGGTCTTGCTATGTTGCCCAGGCTGGTCTCAAACTCCTGGCTTTGAATAATCCCCCACCTTGGCCTCCCAAAGCACTGGGATTAAAGCTCATGTTTGCAATCCCAGTGGTTGGGGAGGCCAAGGTAGGGGATTATTATGCCCAGCCTATTTCCACCTTCTTATTAACTGATTTTCATTTGCTCCATTTTTTATGCCTTTTCCTCTTCCCCAAATTTCCCTTCTTTTTCCTCACTCTCAGCAGACAACTTTGCTTCTTAGTTCACAGAGAAAAAAGAAGGAATCAGAAAAGAACGTCCACATGCCCACCCACAAAATGTAGCCACTTCACTGCATCTGAGGGACCCATCTATAACCCCTTCTTCCATTGAGGATAAACTGGATAAATTGTTCATTTTCCTAGCAAAGGCCAGCTTCACCATTTATAAACTAAATACAATCTCTTCTTGCTTACCCAGTGACCTTGCTCAAATAATGCTCTACTCTTTTTAATCACCAATCTTTCAATCTCTGCTTGATCTTTCCCATAACCATACATAAATAACGATTGTTTCTCCCTTTTAAAATATCCCTTTCTCTGGACTCTATCTTCTCCTTCAGCTAACACACCATTTCTCTTCTTCAGCTTACAACAGAACTCTGAAGAAGAGTTCCCTATGCTTGCTTGCTGTCTCCAGTTTCTGTTTTTCCATTCTCTGAACCAATTCTTATCAGGTAAGTTACCAATAACCTTTTTTTTTTTTTTTTTTTTTGAGATGGGATCTCACTCTCTGTTACCCAGGCTAAAGTCCAGTGGTGTAATTAAAGCTCATGGCAGCCTCAAACTCCTGCACTCAAGTGATCCTCCCACCTCAACCTCCCAAATTGCTGGATTATAGGTATGAGCTACTGTGCCCCATGGCCTGCACATTTTAAATCTTGTTCTCATCTCTCATTCTACTTGATTACCCAAAGTCCCAGCTACTCAGGATGCTGAGGTGGGAGGTTCACTGGAGGCCAGCACTTCAAGTCCAGCCTGGGCAACATAGCAAGAACATGTCTCTTAAAAAAGGAAAAAATTAAAAGTATTTGACACAGCTGTTTATTCCCCTTTTCTTGCAATATTATTTTCACTTGACTTATGGGACATTTAATTGTCCTGCTTTTTCTCTTACCTCATTAGTGGCATCTTCTTACTTTCCTTTATTCTTTACTCCTTCGCTCTCTCACTACCAAACATTGGAATACTCCAAAACTCAATCCTTGGGGTTCTCCTCTTTTCTAACTTCTCTCATTCCACTGGTGACTTCATGGTTTGTATATCTTATATGCCAACAACTCCAATTAATAATATCTCTAGACTAGACTTCTCCTCTGAAACCAAGACTCAAATATTCAACTCCTCACTTACCATCTCTAACATAACATCCCCTAAACTGAATTCCTGATCTATTCCCCATCCTAATTTGGTCTGATACAATCTCTACCTTCTCAGTGAATGGCAACTCCAAGTCCTCCTGTTTATCAGGCCTAATCTTACCATTATCTTTGACTCTTTTCTCAGACCGCACATTCAATCTACCATCAAGTTCTGTTGGTTTTACTTTAAGAATACATTTGAGAATCCTACATTTCCCCTAACTCCATTCCTACCACCTTCATCTATTCCACTATCACCTTTCACCTGCATTATTACAACAGCCCCCTAACTAGTTTCCCGGCTTCCATCCTTGCCTTCCTTCAGTCTATTTACTACACTGTAGCTAGAGTTAGTCTGTTAAAATGTAAATCAAATCCTGTCACACCTACCTAAAATCCTCCAAGACTTCTCCATCTCACTCTGCATAAAAATTAAATTCCTTACTTAGATTGCAAGGCCCTAAACAATCTCAGCCCACCTACATCCCTACATCCTACCTTCTGTTCAAGCTCTCTGAACTCATCTCACACTTAGTTGGTCTCATTCAGTCTTTTCTAGCCAAGCTGGCTGTTCTGTGGACACAGCTCCCATCTGGCCTCAGGGTCTTTCCACTTGATTTCACCCCTACTGGGACCCTTTCTCCTAGCTGTCTACATGGCTCACCTACTTAACTCTCACTTCCTACTAAAATGTCACCCTGAAGTCCATTCCTGCCATTCCTGACCATATTCCTTATTTATTTCCCTTTCTTTATTTTTCCTGTAGCATTTATCATCATCAAACATGCTTACATTTTTATTTATATAACTTATGTATTGTCTGTCTTTCTTCAACAGAATTGAGGCCTCATCTTTGGCATCTTGGTGCAAATTAGAAAATTATTCAGGCATGTACATGTTTGCCCATACACACACACACACACACACACACACACACACACACACATACACACATGCCCATCCCACCCTCAATGCACAGGATTTGGTTAGCAACTACATTTGTGCAAAGAAAAAGACATGGGTAGGAGCAGAGTATAA